TATTTATAAAAAGTATGAATCCATATTTTTCTGACAATTTAGAGTAGAATTTTAGAAGTTATTCAATGTGGCCTTATCAACAAAGTGCAATGTTAGGAAAAAACTGTAATGTTTTTAATTTTTGGATGTTATTCAGCTGATTCTAAGTTCTTTTTGCTAAACTAAGAAATTAAAAAAGCCAAAGCACTTTCTTAGATGAATTGATTTATATAACCAGGCTAATGATATTTTCATAATTTCAAAAGGGAGGAATTTCAGATTTGTGTTGTAATAGACTAGTTAAGAATGAAAACTTGGAATTAAAATGCCTGGATCTAAGTCAAGCTTTGGGACATTCTAACTATATAATCTTGGGCAATTCCTTACCTCCCCTAAGGCCCAGTTATTTTCATATGTAAAATGCAGGTGACAATAATAAGTTATTCTTAGGTTTAAATGAGTTAATATAGATATTTGGCAAGGTTCCTGCCACATAGTAAATGTCCAATGGAAATGAGCTAATGCAAAGATATAGCTAAGTAAAATCAATAAACCATACAGTTAATCAAATGGGCTATTTTACACCATCTACCATGTATCTAATTATTAATATTGAAGATACCACTTAGTGAGCACTGTGCTAAATATTTTGTATACATTATCCCATTTAAATTTTATGATAACTTTGAGAGTTGACTATAATGACCTTATTTCATAGAGAAGTTAACTGAGGCTCAGAGTATATGTCCAACGTTATACATTAGTAAGAATATTTTGTCATGATCATTTGAAGCAGACATTTAATATCAGCAATATTTTGGTGCAGCCTATAGAAACAAATTTTTAAATTTTCTGTTTCCCCCACAAATGAAAATAGCTTTATTGGGCTCTTTTTCAATTAAATACACACACACACACATACACACACACACACACACACCCACGTTGAAAATAAAGCAATACAAAAAAGTATACTCACTCATATTCTTACTATCCTATATAATAAAAGGGTAATATACATATAGACCAAACGGCAGAACAACCGAACAACCAATTAAAGCATAATATGCTAATGATATGCTAAGGCTGCTTAGCTGCTCTCTATGACGTGCACTGACCAACAAGTGGCAGACAGTCAACTGGTCGACCAGTCGCTATGACATGTACTGACCACCAGGGGGCAGATGGGTAGCTTGCTGCTGGGGTCAAGCCAATCGGGACTGAGCAAGATGGGCCAGACACACCCTGGAGCCCTCCTGCAGTCCCTCCCTGGCCCAATTGTGCATCGGTGGGGTTCCTCATCCTGGCTGAGCTGGTTTCAGCGCAATCCTGCAGGCCACTCCCCTTGGGAGGGCGCCAGATGCAGGGCTCATGGCTGGTGAGCACCACTGCGGCAGCGCAAGCCTCTTCTGATCGGGACTGATTGGGCACAAGCCCGTGGCAGGCACAGTGGGGCCGGGATGAGAGGGAGCAGCAGGTAGGACCTGCAGGTGGCATTGGACTGCGGGTTTCAGCCCAGTCCCTGCAGGTCACCCAGAGGGACCCCACCCATGCACAAATTCGTGCACTGGGCCTCTAGTTCAAGTATAACCACTGACATTTATTATATTTGGTGAACATATAAAAAGCAGACAGTACTTGTTGCCTATTAAATATCCATTCTCTCCCCACTTTCATCAAGAGTTCTAAATAGTCTTAATATCCATTCTCAACCCAGGATTACTTTATCACAAATGTATGATATCTAATGGAATTTGCCATCTATTTGGGGAAGGGGGTAAAACAAATACATAAAACATTAGAGAATAGTCAGGAACTCATAATGAGATACTGACTGTTGCTTTCTCTGGTTTTGTTTTGTTTTTAATACCGTGAACAGATGACCATTTAACATGAACAACAACTGTTGACAAGCAAGATTTTAGAACTAACTATCTTATAGCCTGATTGCTGTTTCTCAGTCTTTGAGTCTGTCCCTTTTCATCAGTCTATGTTGTTCTCTATAATCCACAAATGAGTGAGATCATGTGGTATTTATCTTTCTCTGACTGGCTTATTTCACTTAGCATAATGCTCTCCAGTTCCAAGATGGAAGCTTTTGAGCTCACCTCCTGTGGATACACCAAGTCTACAGCTATGCACAAAGCATTTTCCTCTGAAAGAAATCCAGAAATTACCTGAATGACTCCTACAGATTGGGTGAATGAGAAAATACCTAAGTTAAACCCACTATAAACCCCACAATAAACCCCACTACAGGCACAGTAGCATACGATCAGGAAGAATTCACAACTCCCAGATTATCCCCGGAGAATGAAGAGTTTGCATTGAACATCTAGCACTACATCTAGCAAAACTTCCACCTGAGGGACAGCCCCCCACTGTACCCCCAGAACACCTAGTTCTGAAAGCCAATGGAGCTTGTATCCACACAACCACAGAACCAGAGCAAACAGAGTCACAGTTCTTGGCAGGCTGGAAAGGACTCACTGTGGCTGGCCCCCAGGACGCAGTGCAGAACTGGCAGACAGAAAAGCCCAGCTTCCATCTTGTCCTATTTGCATATTTTAAAAGCAGCTGCCTGAAGGTCAGGCTCCTAATTTAGCACATGTGAAAATCTAAACTCTCACAATTCTTAGTGATGCTGCTGTGTTTTGCATGTCAACATGTCATGAATTTTACGGTAGCTTAGTGACCTCTGCTGGCTTACTTCAAAAGGTTATATTTCCAGGTACCCAGACAATAGTGCGGTAGAGGCCTGGGGTAGGGTGGAGAGGGGCAGCGGAAGGGAAATGGGGAACATCTATAATACTCGCAAAAATACATTTTAAATAAATAAATACATTTCTAATTTATAAGTAGTGGGGGAAAAGGTTATATTTGCAGTGATTTTGAGACAAGATTAAAATACTCCCATCACATCTCCTCCCCTTGGACTGTGGAAAGCCTTGCAGCTGTCTCAACAAAAAGAATGCAGTGGAACTGATATAACAACTTCCAAGGCTCCGACAGAAAAGGCAATATAGTCTCTCTCTGTCTCGTTCTCACTCTCTTTCCCTCCCTCTCTTTGGATCCACTCACTTTGGAACCCTATGTCACACCTGAAGTATCACGATAAAAGATCAAGTGGTAGAGAGATTACAAAAATGTGCCTTTAGAATCCTAGTTGTTCCAGCCCCCGGCAGTTTTGAGTCTTCTCAAACTAGTCACCAGATGTGGGAGTGAACAGCCTTCAGAGGATTACAGCTCCAGCCACCATGTGACTGATCCACCCAAGAAGCCAAGAACCAAGAACCAACCCAAGAGAGAACTAACTAGCTGAGCCCAGCTGACACCCAGAACTATGAGAGATGATAATAAAATGATTATTGATGTTCTAAGCCCTTACATTTGAGAGCAGTTTGTAATACAGCGGTAGATAGCTGGAAAATTTCTATATTTAAATAATTTGTAATAATAGTACAGTTAAGAGATAGCTATAAAAATGGGAAACTAGCTCTAACCGGTTTGGCTCAGTGGATAGAGCGTTGGTCTGTGGACTGAAGGGTTCAGGTCCAGGGCATGTACCTTGGTTGCAGGCACATCCCCAGTTGGAGGTGTGCAGGAGGCAGGTCAACGATGTTTCTCTCTCATTGATGTTTCTAACTCTCTATCCCTCTCCCTTCCTTTCTGTAAAAAAATCAATAAAATATATATTTTTTTAAAATAGGAAACTAGTAATGTTACATTTTAAAAATAACTGTAACCCAGACAGGTGAGTCACCATAGCATGGTGGTTAACATCTTACAGAAGGTTTCTTATATTTAAGTTTTTATGACATGGGCCCTTCTATGAAACTGGCACTGAAATTAAAGATAGCCTTGGAAGAAGGATTGACACTGCATGGAAGCATTTTTTGAAAAATGAAAAGTAAAAGAGTCAGACAGAAATTGTGTTACTGTAAAGTTACACCAAGTGTGCCTGCCTCTCGTGTCTCCCCTTCCAACTTTCTGCCTCTGCCACCCCCAAGACAGCAAGAACACTACTCCTCTTTCTCCTCCTCTTCAGCCTACTCCACGTGACGACAAGGGGATGGAGACTTTTATGTTGATCCACTTCTACTTAATGAAGAGTAAATAATCATCATTCAATATAGTTAATAACCTTACCTGTTGTGAATGTGTGTGTTGTTTTCATGTAAAAACGTGTGTCATCATCCTTGCCTAAGTATTCATCTACCTTTCACTTTCCCCACTTGCCATCCAAATGCTCTGACTGGGCATTGACGTATTTACTTTTGTTAAAGAACAAAGGGCTTGCTGCTCTGTGTGCATAGAAGTCAATACTATGACATCAGCTTTTGAGAAAAGAGAAGGCTTTTATTTGCAAGTCGACTGACAAGGAGACAGGAGGCAGGACTCCAATCTGTCTCCTCAATCCAGGGTTCAGGGCAGGTTTAAGAGGTTTCAGCTTCCGATCTTCCTGGACAATGTATCCTTCCCTCCTGAAAAGGATCTGGTGTTGAGTTTCTGGTCATTTCCAGGCCCTTTGGTTCCACTGAAGGGAATAGTAAAGGGTTCACAAGTGTTACCCATTAATGGTGTTCACAGTGTTACTCTTAAGTGATATATCCAAGGTTTAAACTTTGGTTCTGGGTCTTGTTAGAAATAGGATAGGACCAGTTTGAGCTGGTTCTGTGGTTACACTTTGCAGTGTAGGAGTTAAATTTTAACTTAAAAAAAATCTTTATTGATTTTATAAAGGAAGGGAGAGGGAGAGAGAGATAGAAACATCAATAATGACAGAGAATCATTGATTGGCTGCCTTCTGCACACCCTCTACTAGGGATCAAGCCCACAATCCAGGCATGTCCCCTGACTGGGAATCCAACTGTGACCTCCTGATCCATAAGTCAATGCTCAACCACGGAGTGACACTGACCGGGCTATATTTTAACTTTGGATTGATTTCTCCTTGGACATAAGCATGAGCAATGGCAGAAGGGGTTGGCAATTTGAAAAGAAGCATTGTGCCCACCAGGATGGCTATGAAATGGATTTCAATTTTTCTGCTGCTATGGTTGAGTTGTAACTGTAGCCTGGGAGCTGTGGAAAGGTGCTGGTACATCCCACAGAATACAGCCTTTGGATAAATATGCAGACAATCTTGGGTGAACTTGTCCACAGTGGTCATGAAGTGATTGTTCTGACATCTTCTGCTTCCGTGTTTGTTGATCCCAACAAATCATCTGCTATTAAATTTGAGATTTATCCTACATCTTCAATAAAAAATAATATCATGGTGTGTGTTTTCATGTACCTGACCAAATAAATAGACATGTTATCTGCCAAAAGACACATTTTGGATGCTTTTTTCACCTAATGCAAGAAATGTTTTGGGAATTGTCTGATTTTATTGAAAAGCTCTGTAAAAATATCATTTTTAATAGGAAACATAACAAAACTACAAGAATCATTCTTGCAGATGCCATCATTCCCTGTGGTCAGCTGCTGGCTGAATTACTGAAAATACCTTTAGTGTACACTTTCTGCTTCCTTCCTGGCTAGACAATTGAAAAGTATAGTGAAGAACTCCCAATCTCTCCAACCTATGAACTTGTTATTATGTCAGAATTAAGTGATCAAATGACCTTCATGGAGAGGATAAAAATTATGATCTATGTGCTTTACTAGTATTTTGACTTTTGGTTCCAAACATTTAATGAGAAGTGGAATCAAATTTATAGTGAAGCGCTGGGTAAGTCATGTTTTTAGTTGGTAGCACAAACTAAATTTCCTACTGCCTTAGAAAGTGAGTTTGCATAAATATAAAGTCAGAGTCAGAGAAATTTGTCTTTAAAAGTGAAATATGAAATAATATAAATGGTCTTTCAACCTTCAAATAAATTATAAGATCAGTTTGAACCCTGTGGTCCATTATTAATACAAATACTTCTGGAAGTTGGAGACCACAAATTGAGGCATTGGCGAGTTCTTTAAGCAATCACATATTCATTCTTATTTATTGGTTTGCTTGTAATAGGCTTTATTTTATAGAGGAATTATAGGCCCATAGCAACATTAAGTAGAGATTTCTCATATATGCCCTGCCCCCATATATACATTTCCTCCTATGTTATTAAACCCCCCCAGCAGAGAAGTATATTGGTTACGATTGATGTAGGTATATCATTATCATCCAAAGTCCATAGTTTACATTCACTCTTGGTGTTAATTTATAATGTTTATATGTCCACTATTATAGTATTGTACAGAGTATTTCACTGCCCTAAAAAGTCCTCTGTGCTTTGCCTATATTCATTCTACATGTTAATTTTATTATAATATTTTTCCCAGTGTCAATAAGCGGCATTAGAAATTTCACTAAATATCTTCATCAAAGCAGGCAGACATGTAGATCGAGGAGTTAAATATTTCTAGCACATAGTCTATGGAGCATTGAGGAAATTGTTTCCCCTTGCATAGCTTTGCTTCATTTAAATTAAACTATTTTCCCATATTACCTGAAGGATTCCTTCACAATTGAGAGATAAAGTGGCCCTATCTCAGATTCAGAAACCTATAATTCTAGGTTTCTAATCATTACACATTCCTTCATTAAGTATTTACAAATTATTTGTTTTAAAGGTCTAAAATCTTGTTGAAGGGTGGATATACATGTTATTACTCTATATTTTCAAAAACGATGTCTCTCATTAGAGGAAAATGAGCCAAACTTATGGGTGAGCACATCTATTTCCATACTTTATGAACATTTTCCAGCTGTTTAAAAAAATACTTTTATTTAATACACAAATATTGTTAAGCTCCTAACATGATCCAACTGCAGTAGTAGCCATACTCTCAGAACCCTCACGGTTGACTTGGAAACCTTAGGAATAAGGGAATAGCTTGCTACATGGTAGACTGAGTACTCTAAGGAAAGGTGTCTTCATGGGTATGGTAGGGTTAATTAATTAAGTTGTAGAAATCATTGTTTACATTTGCACTAGTTAATTTTGAATCTTTACAGAATAAACAAATGCATGTTTAATTCTTTAATGCTTAGTTTAATACTTGTTTATGATTCTGACTGTACTGAGGTGACAGTTGTGATAAAAGTCTATTATACTTTTTTTATATATGAACAAAATATATATATTTGTAATTGTATTTTCAAACCAAGACACGTTTACAAATCTTTAGCTATATTATTCCAAGTTACTTTCAGAAAATTACCTGGTGTATTCACATTACAATATTCTCATTTTCCCCAGCATTTGCTTGTGGTTTTTGTTTGTTTGTTTTTGTTCTTTCCCCCCCTTCAGGAAGACCCCTACATTCTGTGAGTTAAAGGGGAAGGCTGAATCATGGCTCATTTGAAGAAAAATAATGACAGTTGCTAAGAAGTCCAAATTTAGTGTACTGGGTTCTTGAATTTCCTCACCCACTCTCACCACATTTTGAATTTGTTGGAGGACTCCATTGCAAACCATATAAACCCTTGCCTAAGTTAACCTATTCTTGCTTGTTTTGCTTTTTTTACTTTGCATTTTTAGTAGAAATGTATTCTTTATTTAGGATGTTTGATCACAATGAGAAAGATATGGGAAATTGGACAAAATGACCTGCCAATTAAAAACTTAAGTATTTCAATACCATATTATAATCTGAATTTCATTATCATTACAAAATAAAGTATTATAGCTGGGAAATTCTGGGAATAGGGTCAGTTAATTAAATTAATGACTCATTATCCAACACATAAGAAAGTGTCAGTCATTCATTCAAAGAATATTCTTTTTTAAAAAAATATATTTTATTGATTTTTTACAGAGAGGAAGGGAGAGAGATAGAGAGTTAGAAACATCAATGAGAGAGAAACATCGATCAGCTGCCTCCTGCACATCTCCTACTGGGAATGTGCCCACAACCAAGGTACATGCCCTTGACCAGAATTGAACCTGGGAACTTTCAGTCCTCAGGCTGACGCTCTATCCACTGAGCCAAACCGGTTTCGGCCAAAGAATATTCTTAAAATGACTAGCATAGTCCAAGATAAGTGCTGGATATGCAAAGAAACAGTGTAGACACAATCTCATCCATACACACTTGACATTCTACATGAAAAGATAGAATTTAAGTAAGTAATAAAAGTTGTGTGAAGAGTATTAAGAGTATTATAATAAGGAAAGACCACAGTGCTAGAGAACATCCAGGAAGGATCAAAGAAAGTATTTCGTGTCAATGACAGTTAGTGATACCTGGAGGATGTGCAGTAATAGGAGGAAGGGACAGGGAAAGAGACACCAAAAGTAAAGCAGAAGAAAAATAATGACAGCTCCTAAGAAGTCCAAATTTAGTGTAGTGGGAAGAGGCTGAATAAAAGGACAGATAATGAGCCCTTGCCAGTTTGGCTCAGGGGATAGAACATTGGCCTGTGAACTGAAGGGTCCTGAGTTTGATTCAGGTCAAAGGCATGTACCTCAATCCCAGGGCCTGGTCAGGGCATGTGCAAGAGGCAACCAATCGATGTATCTCTCACATTGATGTTTCTCTCTCTCTCTCCCTCCCTTCCACTCTCTCTAAAAATGAATGCAAAAATATCCTTGGGTGAGGATTAACAAAAAAGGGGAAAAAAGAGGCAGATAATGTTGGAAAAGTAAGTTAGAGATAAGTAATTATAAGAAATTTGAAGCATAAGCCAATGGAAAAGAGAAAAAGGAGTGAAAAGGGATAGATATGATCAGATTTCCTTTTTTTTATTAAGCCATCAAGATGCAGCCTCTGGATTGAATTGTACAGGGGCAAGAGTAGAAAGGCATGCCATACAGGAGGTTGTTGCAAGAATTCAAGCAACAGATGATGAAAAACTCAACATTAAAGATATGAATATGCCTACTCTCATAATTACATCAACCTCATATTTCTGTTCAGTAGAAAAAAAGTTTATATATACACACACACACACTAGAGGCCCAAAGCACGAAATTTGTGCAAGGGGCTCTGCCCTCACAGCCGTTTGCAGCCCCAGCCGGCCCTTGAAGCCCTGGCATCACCCAGAAGGTTGTCCAGATGGTTGTTTGGTCTAATTAGCATATTAGCTCTTTATTATATAGGATATATATGTATATATATATATATATATATATATACATATATATATAAAATATGTAAAATGTCTCTGGCACATGGTCAGTGATACAGAAGTAATATTAATTATTGTCACTATTTTTATTTTTGTTTGTATTATATATTATTAATAACCCAATATGTGTCAGCCTATTTTGATGTGATTCCTCATTTAGTAAAAACTGGTTTTCATAGATCAAGGTTGTATTTTCTATCAACGTCATAGAGGACATGTCTTGTGAAGTCCTTACCAGTAAATGCATATGTAATTTGGCAATCAGATGAGCAAGTTGAAATGCTAATTTTTTTAGTAAGGGTTGAAGCTCTTTACCAGTATTCTAGCTTAAAATATTCTAGCTTTGGCAGCCAAACCCAAAGTTTGCTTGCCTTCATTACAGTATTCAAACAACTCCTCATTTGAGATCCCAAGATTTGACATCTAGAGCATAAAAGAGACTTGCTTATTGCAGCAGTTGTTCTCTGCCATACACCAAACCTGTACAAAATCCCAGTGAAGATCTCTCGATGAACATGGTTCTTGCCATCATAGCTGCCTATCAAAGTGTCTAAGAGAAAATGTACACTAATTATATTATAAAGACCATGAATTTTGTATATTTAATAAATGCCAAATAATTTCTACCACTTCTATCTAAAAACTGTTCATGGTTAAATCACAGAATAGCCCAGCCAGTGTGGTTCAGTTGGCTGAGCGTCGTTCCATGCACCAGGAAGTCACCAGTTTGATTCCCAGGCAGGGCACAGGCTCGATCCCCAGGAGGCATGTGCAGGAGGCAACCAATCAATGTTTCTCTACCATCAATGTTTCTATTTCTTTCTCTATCTCCTTCTCTCTGAAATCAATAAAAATATATTTTTTAAAAAATTACAGAATAATTCTGTTAATATATAGGATAATATTCCTATGGGAGAAAGAATCTATGTTTTATTTTTAAAAAATTTTTAAAAATATATTATATTGATTTTTTACAGAGACGAAGGGAGAGGGATAGAGAGTTAGAAACATCGATCAGCTGCCTCCTGCACACTCCCTACTGGGGATGTGCCTGCAACTAAGGTACATGCCCTTGACTGGAATCGAACCTGGGACATTTCAGTCCACAGGCCGATGCTCTATCCACTGAGCCAAACCAGTTAGGGCAAGAATCTATGTTTTAAATTGATATATCTTTAAGACATAAGTAGAAAGCAAACATACTTTACTGAACTATTAAATGATTTTTTTTTGTTAATCTTCACCTGAGGATATTTTTCTATTAATTATATTTTTATAGAGTATGGAAGGGAGGGGGAGAGACAGAGAAAGAATGACATTGATGGGTTGCCTCCTGCAAAATAAACAAATGGGACTACATCAAAATAAAAAGCTTCTGCACAGCAAAAGAAACCATCAACAAAATAACAAGAAAGCCCATTATGTGGGAGAACATATTTGCCAATGATACATCTGATAAGGGGTTAATCTCCAAATTTATAGGGAACTCATACAACTTAACAAAAGGATGATAAACAATCCAATTAAAAAATAGGCAAAAGACCTAAATAGACATTTCTCCAAAGTCGACATACAGAAGGCCAAAAGGCATATGAAAAATGCTCAAAGTTACTAATCATCTAAGAGATGCAAACCAAAATGACAATGAGATATCACCTCACACCTGTCAGAATGGCTATCACCAACAAATCAACAAACGACAAGTGCTGGAGAGGATGTGGAGAAAAGGGAACCCTCATGCACTGCTGGTGGGAAAGCAGACTGGTGCAGCCACTATGGAAGACAGTATGGAGTTTCCTAAAAAAATTAAAAATGGAACTACCATTTGACCCAGTGATCCCACTTCTAGGAATACATCCTAAGAAACTAGAAACACCAATCAGAAAGGATATATGCACCCCTATGTTCATAGTGGTGCAATTTACAATAGCTAAGATTTGGAAACAGCCCAAGTGCCCATCAGCAGATGAGTGGATAAGAAAGCTGTGGTACATCTACACTATGGAATATTATGCAGCTATAAAAAAGAAAGAACTCACCATTTGCAACAGCATGGGTGGACCTGGAGAGCATTATGCTAAGCAAAGTAAGCCAGTCCCAGAAAGATAAGTAACACATGATCTCACTCATTTGTGGAATTTAATGAACAAAAAAAACTGATGAGTAAAATAGATCTAGAGACATAGAAGCTGAGGAATTTCAGAGAAAAGGCAGTGTTGGGGATGGGTGGGAGGGGAGTGATTAACTGGGGAACTTAATATGCATAACCCGTGGACACAGACAATAGAGTGGTGAAGGCCTGGGAGGGGCAGTTATGGGGGGAAAGGGGTCCATGGTAAAAAGAAACACAAAGGGGACATCTGTAATACTTGCAACAATAAATATAAATTTAAAAAAGCCTATTCTGATCCTATATGCAGTTTAAACTTGATTACACTCATACTAACACATTTATTTATTTATTTATTTATTTATTTATTTATTTATTTATAAAAGAGGGTGTTAGAGTTGCCGAAGGAGGAACACATGGGGCCAAAGTGGTAAGGAATTATAAATTTGGGGGCTCAGATGATGTTGAGCCTCCAAGTGGTGCTAGCACCCAGGTTCTGGGAGTCAGAGATTTTAAAGGACTCTTGGCAGGCTTTTTCGGCGAGAAACTCTCTGGACAGGTCTAGATCTTGGGAAATTCCGGAGAGGAAAGATAATGGTCTCAGCAAGTGGGATGTGGTCTCAGCAAGGGGGATGTGGTCTCAGCAAGTGGGATGTGGTCTCAGCAAAAGGGGATGTAGGTTGTGAAGTGATCTAAAAGGTCAGTTCCCAGGAGAGGGGGTATTGATTCAATTATTTGATCAGACCTAACAGAGAGAATAAGAGTGAAAGAGAGAGAGACAGAGAGATTGGTTGCTTTCTGAGCTCACCCTGACCAGAAATTGAACCCAAAACTTGGATATGTGCTCTGACTGAGAATGGAACCTGCCACCTTTTGGTGTATGGGACAAGGCTCCAACCAACTGAGTCACACTGGCCAGGGCTGATTAACACACTTAAAAATCCAGCATCTGGGATTCCTACTTCACAGACTTATGAGAATTAAATGGCTCAAAATTCACTGTCGAAAATAAACTGGATCCCTCAAACCTCATCCCCCTCTATCCAGTCAAGAATCAGACAGACACGACCACTCCTCTTAGCCCCCC